GAGGAACAGCAAACCGCAGCTTGTGCATTCCTTATTCTCCGGGGTCCCCCTTTCCCCCCGCTTTTGCTCTCTGTTGCACAGGCACGTGAAGTCAGTAAGGGGCAAATCCCTGCCTTCTACAGGTACGGGCAGAGGCAAGACTTCTGCCCCCTGCCTTCTCCCAGGAAAAGTCCTACCTCAGTTCATCAGCTCGGACAAACACTGTAAGATTAACCAAAGGCATTTTACACCTTCAAACACCACCAGTGTAGCTGTTTAGGAAATTAATTTGTCAAAAACTGCTGTTCTGTCAATCTAAACATTTTATGGAAAGAGGTGATTTTGGATCAAATGAAAAGAATAATGTTCTGAAGTTCTGACGCTGCTTTAGGAACAGCGTAAACTGAATCACCTGTTCTTAAAAACTTCTTTTTCAACAATACTTTTCACTACGATTGAGGTGGCATTTTGGGAAGTTCTAATCATTAAGAAATCTTGAGCTGCCCTTTAAAATTCAGCCTTTGCTGTAAAGAAATACTCCTTAGGAAATCCACTGAAATGGATTAAAAGGCAGGCTTACACCTAGTCATACTGGCACTTAACCGAGCTGAGCAGCAGCAACCGCGTTCACTGATTTAAAACAATTCTTACCAGGTTTGGAATTTTCAGGGACACAAAACTCAAAAAGGTCCTGGGTAAAATACGGAGCATTATCATTATCATCCTCTATCCTGATAGTATGCACAAGTGGTACCTCTGGTGAGTAACCGTCCGGAGTGGTTGCAAAGCAAATGATCTGCAAGACACAAATTCAGTAATTTGCTTCATAAATATTGCTACAGTTCAACGGAGGAGGCCATAAAACGACCCTTCTCCAGGCCAGGCTCTTCAGCCACATGGAAGGGGAAGTGACTAATCTCTTACAATGACAGCAACACAAAACTTTTACATGCTTTCCCATCTTCCCCCTTTCCATTCCTCACACTACAAGTATTTGAATCACTTTCTTCTCCTCCCCGCCTCCAACTCTGTCAAACGCTTTTTCCAAGCCTCTTGAACACATTTTTTTTTCCAGGTGTCTATGAGGCAAGCTCAGCTTTACCAAAAATTTAGACATAAATATTGCTATTTAGAACAAAATCAAGAGCAACAGCAAAACTATTTGCCCATTACAATATAATCTAACAAAATGCAGTAATAGGTACGGCAAAATACCCAAATATTTAGAAGCTGTTTCTACTAACTGCCTTCTTACACTTCTCAGCCAGCAGAGAGAGCAGTGTACCTTGTTAACAAAACACCAGAACTGAACAGCTTGAGAAAGAGAGGCTCAGAACAGCCACAGCCGTCTAGACTTCCTCACCAGTTTTGTTTTTATGCAGACCTTTTCAGCCTTCCCTGAAAAACCCTGGGATAACTTCAAACTCTTCCCAAAAGTGATGCAAAGCCAACAGCTCACTACATTTACGCTGTAATTAGTCTAAGCAGTGAAAAGCAAAATTACTCCCAAGACCTAGACGACAAGCTATTTCTTTATTTGACACTGATTTCATCTCTGCAACACCAAAGATATTACTCAGAACAGACAGCTGATTCCAGATCTTGTCTGCCCTCAGTCTCCCCTGTAACCCAGCTTTCAAATATATACATGACAGGAAAAAAAAAAAAAAAAAAAGATTTAATTATCTTTATACAATTTAGGCCTGTACCTGAAAGCTTGGATATTGTTCACGGTCCACTGCACGAGTAGCAAAGATATTTCCAGTTTCTCTTTCTATGTAAAACAAACCCTTTGGATCTTGATCAATTCCTGGTCCACTTGCAGAATAATAAATGGTGTAGTTCTGAGCTGTGTCTGACTGGACCTATAAAGAACACATTTTTAAGCCCAAGGAAAAACAGCAGCATCATTCTACTAGATTTTCCCTCTTTTTATGACCACGTTTGGCACAAGCAGGAACTCTTCTTCGAGAAAACAAAAAACAAAACTTGATTTACTTCTACTTCTTTAGCAGCTTAATCTTCAGAGAACAGGAGAAAAGCTTGCCATGTAACTGCCTTCCTTCATAACGTGTGTAGATGAGAAAGGGTAGTTTATCCAAACTCACAAATGTTTAGGACTATCGAACAGTTAAAGAAACGACAAGTGTGCCTAAAAATAATTATTTTGAAATCTAATCTCTCTAGAACCCTGAACACACAACGCACGTTCAGATACAGATGGCTTGTTATGTCTGTCCCTGTAAAAGAGATTTGGGGTTTAGTGCACTCACTGAGAATGTGGTTTGCAACTAGAGAAGAAAAAGCAAAGCAGAGAAGGAGGGAGGGAGAGAAGAGAAAGAGAGGAAGCCGACTGCCTCGAGTATCGTCCAGAGCCAGGCCAATTCCGCCTCTTTGCATCCCATTACAAGCTCCAAGGAGGTCACACTAGCAGTTACCTACTTACAAACACTCTGCTCCCCAATACTGTCCTCACCCACTGAACAGCAGAAGTTAGGAAGGTAAGATGAGTAGAAGAATGATTGCTCTGCACAGACTCTGTTATTACACTTGTCTCTTCCCATTTGCTACCAGCCACTCTGTAATCTAGCGGAGGCCAGATGGATCTACGATAACTTTAGTTCTTGCATCTCTCTTTCACGCCTACTTGCTTTCCTACAGTAAGTACTTTTCCTAATAATACAGGCCATACTCAGCCTTCAATGCTACAGGCATACACCTCGAGCTCCAGAAAGGATGTAGACGGGCAGGTAAGATTTCCCCCGCTCTGTGTCTACAAAAGCTTCTTCTAGGTAATGTTTTGTGCGGGTTGGTTGGTTGGTTTGTTTTGTTTTTAATTACACACTTCACTGATTTTCAGGCCTCTGAAAACGCCCCTCTCCTTCTTGCAACTTTTGCACATTTCCCGTTCATCCTCACAACTCTGATCACAAGTTATTTCAGCTGCAAGATCACAAGATACACAACGAACAGGACAGAACAAGACAGAGGAATAACAGCA